GCTATATTAAAAAAAGGAAAATTTCAGATTTTTAGGGATAATTAATTCCCTTGTTTTTTAAAATCTGAATTTTTAAAATTAATTCAAATTTAATTCTAATATATTTTTAATAATAACCGATTTTATTATGTTAAAATGACAGAAAGTCAACCATAAACAAGTAAATATATTTTCAATTTTATTCTTGCATAATATGGTTCTATTCAAGATATTTTTTGTAATTATCATTCTTAAAGAATTATACAACATATTATCAAAAATTAACATTTTCTAAATAATACAGATTTCATTTTTTAAGAATCACTAATTGCATTAATTCATAAAGAAGAAGACTATAAACAATTATTACATTCATCCTGTAAAAATATTACTAATAATGGTTTAAGAATTACATTTATTCTTAAAGATTAAAACTAAGAATGGTTAAAAAAGAAAGAAAAACATCAAAAATCTAACAAAAACACTATTAAATTCTGAAAGAATATTATTGTTAAAAAACACTTTATACATTATGGCAGAATACATTCTGCTATAATATACTTTCGTTCTCTATGTTTTCTTCCTTTTCCTCATCAATGACACCCTCTTCAAAACCTAAATCCACAAAGAAAACATAATCAAATTTCAAATATTAAAAAATTTAGTGCATTCTATGAGAATAAAAACAACAAATTATGATAGAATAGAGTTGTAACACCCCAAATTTTCCAAAAACTTTTTCATGCTATGGTTTAAAAAAAACATTCGGGTGCTAACCCGCATTTAACAAAAATCGGTCCCACATAAACATTTACAAATTTAAAACATTGGGTATTACCATTAAGCATCAATATAACCATAGCAAGCAAATAAGAATTACATCAATACAATTAATAGGGAACTTAACAAGTTCCACTCCATTCTCTATCACTTGACTTTTAACTTCCATCTATCATTCTCTCTCCTTAAGTGTAACCTGAGATACCTGGCATTAAAAAGTGATACGTAAGACAATAATGTCTTGTGAACTACGTGGGTTTGAGACCCAAAACATTTATCACTTTTTCATTAAAAAAACGTTTCATCTTTGCGAAACATAGTTTTAGACCATAAAACATTTTCAAGCATTTTCAAGGAAAATTCATTTCATAAATGTCATAAATATCATTTCATATCTTCTCATTTCATTTCCTTTCATTTCATTTCAAAAGCCACGTTTCCATATTTCATTTTCTTTAATCATTAAGGGCTAATTCTGGTATTATACCATTGCCATTTTTATACTTAGGGTCTACATCCAATAAAGGAACCACTCCCAAGTCTAAGACCAAGGTGGAAAGAACAAATCAATCCACCAAGGCATCATTTACATTAGGACATCTATCTCGCGAAGGGGAGGCGCCACCCCGATAGATTCCTCTAAGGCCTCTTACGAGGTATCATGGCCTGGGTGGTTTTCATTTCATTACTTTCCAATTCCTTTCATTACTTTCCATTCATTTTCATTACTTTCCATGCTTTACACATTTCATACATTAATATCATAAAATCATTTCAAAAGTAAAACATCTATATTTCAAAACATTTCAATCATATTTTCAAAACATTCGATCTTCCAAAACGTTCTTTTCTTTCAAAAACATTCTTGCCTTTAAGGCACTCTTTCAAAATACCCTTTCCAAAAACATTTGACACTTTCATTTCAAAACATTTCATATATCAAAGCATTGCATTTCATTATCATAAAATCATTTTGCCATGTACCCCAAAGTGGGAAAAATGCCAACACGTACTCACCTCAATCACATGTAGGCTAGCTAGCTTCTTCTAGTTCCTTTCCTTATAGAAACACTCTCAATCAACACCTATATAACATGGACACAAGTCATTAAAATGACCAAAATACCCCTAAAAGGTTCCATTAGTAAATTTTATTGTTTCATACTATTCCTTATGTAAAAATATGAATGTAGGCGAAAACCGCGTGTAAATCCGAGTCCGTATGCAAAAGTTGTGAGGAAAATACTAAAGTTCCATCTAGCCGGACAATCTGCTGTCTGTGCGCGGGCCGCGTGCCTGACCACGCGGGTCGCGTCCCGTAGCAGCCCAAACACCCTCAAAAACTCACTTTTTGAGTCTTAAACTTGCTTAGATGGTTTTGGTCTTTTAGGTAACCATTTGGAACACCTATAAAGGTCTTTAAGCACTACTAGAGGATGTTTTATCATGTCAAAACATTCAACTTAATTCATTAAGTCCTCAATCAACATGCTAAGTTTATAGTGTTTACAAACACTCAAATGAAAGGTTTAAGAGCTCAATTTGCTCAAAAACACTCTTTAGCCAATATGACTTATTCCTAAATCATTTAATACATCATTGGGTGTTGTCAAGTAGATAAAACATCATTAATATCATTGCAAATACTTAATCTAACTATGGAATCTTCAATTCCATTCCATGTTTCCTAAATTGCCCTTTTTGCCCAAACAATCACTAGAGCTAGAACCTTACTAGCATCCCCTCATGTTTGTGTTTCACTATCATCTCTTGAGTGTCAATTCATGTTCATGAATATCATTCACTTCTTATATGAGATTCATTATGTAATTACCAATAGATTTCCCAAAATACCCTTATGACCAATTATTCCATAAATGCAACTATAGATCACTCAATCCTTCATGTTCTTGCATTCAAATAATATTGTTAGTATCAACTCATGATTATGAGTATCATATACTCATCAAATGCTCACATTCCAAGAATTTCATTGTTTTCATCATAATTTCTCACATAACCATCTAAAACCCATGTTTATGCAAAACTGCCCCATCATAAATGTGTTTGATCATTTTAATTGGATTCATTGCCATCAAACATCATCTAGGTCATTGAATCCATTCCAATCTAACATATAAACATGAAATCCTCATTTTGAATTTCTAGGGTTCATGAGTGTTTTCACCCAAATCCTCAAATCCATCAATAGGATGATTGGATTGAGATTGGGATCATCAAAACAACTCAAGGGAGGTTAGAAACCAAAACCCTAACCCTTATAATAAGCTAAATTCGAAATTGGGGTCAAACCCACTTCACAAATCCGAATTCTAGGTGAAAAGGAAGAGAAATTATACCTTGAACCACTTCACAACTTGCTCCAACTGAACCAATAAGGATTAACATCGACCCCTAGGGTTTCTATTGAGCTTGAATCGCCATCCAATCTCCTCTATTCTCCTCCTATCGTTCTTGTTTGGCTGAAATGAAGAGGAAGCATTTTTATTTTCGGATTTGTCATATTTGGTCCTTCTAGTTTACATCTTTTGGCAAATTTACCATTTCTTCATTTATTTTCACATTTGCTTAAAAGGTTGACATAATGAATACTTGAACATCCCATTCTTAACATTCCTCATCCATTTAACCTTGGTGAGTCAACTCTTGGTCAAACATATTTTTCTAAATTGACACTTTGGGTCCCTTAACTTTGAAATGTTAACATCTCAACCTTTAACTTTGCAAGCTTCATATCGACTAATAATATGATTATCCCTTGATTATTTATTTAAATAATTCACCTATTATTTATTTATCCATATTAATTTAAGAACCTGGTCTTAAATTTTTAGGATGTTATAAGAGTAAACATTAAAGAATTATAATTTATTCTAATAGAATGTTATCTTCAAATCATTGTAAGAATACTATCAGGTAACATAACATTTATCTTCATCAATTAACATATATAATACCCAATCTCTACCAAAAAAAATAGGCATTATCAAATCCTATGAAACACAAATTGTTTATTCATTATGTTAAACAAATATGATTCTAATATAATATAAAAAAAGCATAAGTAGTTAATAATTAAGATGATTCTTACGAATATATAAAAAATCAATTACGTACTTGGAATTAGTTTATAGGAATATAAAAAAAATACATAAGAGAGGCGATGATCGTATCTATAAAATAGTTTGATTATATCTAATTTGACTAAAAGTTAAGAATCAATTACATGGATGGTATGAAAAAAAAGATTTACATTTAGAGTAAATTACAGAAATGGTCCATGTGGTTTGGTTGTATTCTTAGTTTTTGGTATTTAAGTTTAAAATTTGATAGGTTATATGTCCGTGGTTTGTGAAAATTGCATTGCATGTCCTTGGTCCATCTAAAATGACCAAATTACCATTTTCTTTCTTTTTTCTTTTTCTTTTAACAATATATATATATATATATATATATATATATATATATATATATATATATCAAGGTTGTAAAAATCGTTCGACGTTAGCTAGTCAGTGGACTGGGGTCAAGGGATTAATCGGCTAGACGAAGATTAATCGGGGACCATTAATTGCTAATTTGTTAGATTTAAAAAAATTAAATATGACTAATATAATATAAAAGTTCATAAATACCACTAATATCATCACAAAATAGGTTAATATGATAAATACAATACTAATCATACCTCAAATAGTTTCTTTGAGATATAACTTCTTCAAAGTGTTAAAATTTAATCGGGTTCTACTGTTTCAGTCATTTTGTATGCATAGATTAATCGTTAGGCGCTCTCTAATCGGTCACGTAGCGCCTAGGGATTAATCGGAGATTAATCGGGATTTTTACAACACTGATATATACTAACTTATAAAAGAAATCTAACTTTTTCTAAAAATAGATTGAATATAATAATAATATTTTTTTAAGATGTTCAAATCATTAAACCAATAGTACAAATTGTCATTAATAAAATAACATTAAAATTTTTAATTAGGTGTCTTTAAAATCATATCTTGATCACTCCCCTCCTATCGGGTTTTTCCTCCGTTTTTTAGTAACGTTTGAACCGATCACAATTTAAAACATAAATCTAAAGGAGTCATCTCTCACTACAATTTAAAACATAAATCTAAACGAGTCAATCTCTCACTTCTTGAGACCACGCTCCTCTCACAAAACCCTACAGTCTCACTATTCCTCTGCTTTTTCTCCAGTCAAACCTAGATACCCCCTTCACCATCAACACCGCTTCCTGGCACTACCTTTTCCACCTCTTTTAACAATATCTGATCACAAGCGCAAATGAGAAACCATTCACCACCCACACCGCCATATCCACCTTCTGTTTCTGCCGAGAGTATGCTGAAATTATTCACCATTGTCTCTTATTCTCCCCAAGAAATCGACTGTCGTCTCTTTTTCTCTCTACGAAATCAACCGGTCATCTGCTTTGCTCAACGCCGCCGAACTCTAACACAAAAATCGGGTGTAACCTATATAATCTCTCTTCCGGCTCTTCAGGCTTGAGACCAAGTCATCAACTGAAACTCAAATCCCTCGATCTCGATCACATTTCCCCTGTATCTCGATCGTCTTAACTGTTCTATCTCCCTCCCGTACGAAAAAAACCCTAAATCACTGTCATCACCATCATCTTCACCACCACCACCATCGGGATCTCCATCAACTGGATTTCTCCGTCTCTCACGATGACCGTTACCCTCTCCGTATATGTATAAAACCATCACACCAGTCACGACTACAGAAAACCCTAGACATTATAGCTAGCGTTCTCTCTAAAAATGCTAGACCTATACGATCACAGATACACATGACAGAAACCCTAATGTCTCTGTCCCTCGCCCTCTCCTCTCTATCTTTATCTTAAAACTAGCCCACCAAGAAAAAAACCATAGATACTATCGATGTTGTTCTCTCTGAAAACCAATGACCATGATCTAAGCAGACACAACAATCCCTGAAAAGGAGCAGTGAAATTGCTTCATTTGTGGGTTGTTCAGTTTTATATTTTCTTCTGTATACTTACATTTGACACTAATCTTCAAGACGATAAAATCATGGGAGTTTAAAGATGCAGGTGAGGGAAGTCTCAGGTACCCATTTCATAAGACACAAGTATTTTATCTATACTGGTAGATAATCAAAACAAAGATTGATGGTTGAGAATATCTTCAGGACTATCGCCTTCATGGAAAATATGATGAGTAAATTTGAAGACGATAGCCTTGAACCTTCTGAATGTTTTAAATTGGTAAGTATTCTTCAAAATAATTTGTTGTTTTCTTGAATAAGAAAGATTCATGAAGATAGTAGTGAGAAAGAATGCAGATTAACACTCGATTTATGTATTGACAACATCGACTATGGATCCATAAATTCTTCTTTTTTGTAGTTTTGTCGTTTCACTCTTGTAATTGAATAATTGGTTGTGATTATGTGACTTTTGAGTATTTAAGAACAAGTTTTGTTGTTGCTTTATGAAAAAATTACTTATCCTTTTTTGTTTTTGTTAGTTAAACCTTAAAAACTACAATATTGTACTACATTAAAACTGAAATATTAGTCATCTTTTTTTTTTTTGGTTCAATTTTTGATTAACTGTAAAACTGAAATATCAATAAATTTTATCCCTCTATTACATTTATGGGTTGTTCAAATGAGTATTCACTTCTAAATGAAAAAACTGTTTGGTTTTCAATTTTGAGGTCGTGACTTTTTCAAAAAAAGATATTGTTTTAAGTGTTGGATTAATCTTACTCATGGTAGACTAATGGACATGCCTTGAGTGAGTCCCTGTTAATCCTTGACTGATGGACAATTCCAACATGAGTCATTGTTAATCCTTAACTGGTTCCTTTTATAGATAATGTGTTTGAATTTTGATATTGTTCTTATGCTTTCCTGTTAATTTATAAGTTGATTTATTAGTGTTAAAAACTTTCAATTGTAATTTTAATCATACATGGTTGGTTATTTGTGATGCAGGTTGTGGACTTGCCTTATCAAAAGTTGACTGTGGCATCATTGGAAGATGCTTTCCTTTCCGAATTTTCAAGCCATACATGATAAGTTCATGCTTGTTTATGAATCCTCACATTTGATATCATGCAACCGACACTACTAATGGCTACTCCCGTTAATGATTTTTCTTGCATCCAATACATCTGTATTTCACGCTTTAGAGAGGAATCTATGCTTAAGACTTTGAGCACCAAACCGATGACAATCTGATTCTAATTTTCATCACAACCATAGCAATTTTTTACATTTTCTTTCAATTAGTGTTTTGTGGTAGCCATATTTATTCAAGAGTCATTCTGTATTAAATAAAATTTAAACTTTTCCACATTCATACTAATACAGAAAGATCACTCAATGAGAAGACTAGATGCACATCTATTTGATTCGAATGGAAGCAATGATATTTTTGTTAAAAATCAGAATTTCAAAATCTTTTGCATTGATCCTTTAACGGCATGTTTATGATGTGTATACATGTTTCTTTTATATGGAGTTAATATCACAGGATTACTGACCTCATTGATAATAGGAATTACTTTACACCTTTATAAACAAATCTGCAAAATCTATAGCAAAGTATATCAACAACATTAGTTTCAAAGGAATAGCAGGATCAGTATCTTGGAGTTTATGAATTATATTCTTGATCTTTATATATGAGTTCTAATGATCAAACAACAATAATAAGCAGGAGATGCATAGGGTAAGCCCTATTGTTTTGTGCCACTTTACTCAGTATCATTCATATTGATATGCATAGGGTGATCCGTATTGTAACAATATAATAAATTGCTACATCGTTTATAACATCTTTATTGTTGTCATTCTATGTCGTTTCTAGATAGAAATTTTGTATGTTTATCATTCCTTGATTAATTTTGTGGTTGTGTGGTGTTAACAAAGGTACCATTTTTTTACTTTGTAGTTTTTAGTTTATTTATTTATCTTATTACCTTTCTAAATTATTGTTTGGTCCATTTTGATTCTCCCATAGTGTCGTGTCAATAAGCATCAATTGAGTGGACAAGCCCAACAGCTACTCTGGCTGAATTCTTAGGGCTTGATCCTTCTAAGGGATGTATTTGTTCTCTTAAAACCATAACATTCTTTACATGTTATTAAATACTATCATTAAGTCTTTATTTTTTGAATAAAATTTACCAACATGGGGTGAAAATAAACTTGTAAATTGTTGATATCAAGTAAAAAAGACAAGCTGGGTTGTTCATATCTACATACTATAGGGGACTAATGAGGCTATTTGAGCATTTCAATAATTATGAAGGTTTATAAGTCGTATAATGTTTTCATTTGATTTTGAGTTGGTTAGAATTAATATGTGACTGATTTCATCAAGATTATCATCACAGATAACATGTTTATAACAAAGGATGGTTGCGTGAAAGCAAGAAATAGTATTTTAATGTTTGTGGCCTCACCATTTTAGCTTCTATCGTACACGTAGAAAATGTGTCATGAAGTTTCCCAAAGTTGTGATAGAGTTTAATGTTGCTGCTCTTCATAAAGGCTAAATTCAAGGCGAAACCGAGGTTGACAACTACTTAAAAATCAATATATATATATATATATATATATATATATATATATAATATATATATATATATATATATATATATATAGGGTTAGGTTATTTTGTTTTTACTAAGTATTGTGTGCCGGAATGCACAGATCTGGACCAACGGATGAAATTAATCAATGGACATGATTTGAGAGTGTATGATATTACAATGGGGTAACATGTACCATATAATCACACAATTTTTAGCAAAAGGGTATTTTGGACAATTAACTACATTTATAAAAGGAAATTTTCGAATTTTTAGGGATGATTAATTCTCCTAATTTAAAAAATCTGAATTTTTTAATTAATTCAATTTCAATTTTTACCGATTTTATTCTATCAGAATATTTTTTTGTTAGAATGATACTCTTTCAGAATTTTATTCTAATAGAATATTATTGAAGAAAAACAAAATTCATGAATAAGATGTTGAAAAATAACAAACATTCTAATTTATTCTTATACATCCGAACTTAAATACAAATTCATACATATTCTTACAGACTAAAAGTCTTATACATTTTAAATATAGTTATAAATATTCTAAAAGAATATCAACAAAAATGAATACATTCTTAAAAAATAACAACATTCTGCTAGAATACTCTCGTTCTTCATGTTTTCTTCTTGAATTCTTGAATTCTGAAAGAATGTTGCTGTTTTTGGATGTTGAATCCTGAAATTCTGAAAGAATATTGTTGTTTTTCTTCATTCTTTGAGAATGAAGTATCACATATCTTTTTTTTCATAAGTTACCTCATCATTCCTACATCATCCTAACATATATTAAATTCCAACAGAATATCTGAATCATGAATATTTGAAAGAAACACATGTTCCTGCTTACATCACCACAAAAAATACACACCAACTTTTAGCTTTTGTTTTCTTCTTATTATCTACAAAACTCAGAAGTTTTTACTTTTTTTATATAATTTTACTCAATTCAAATGGTTTAGAAAAACAAAACAACTAAAGCATTGTTGAAAATTGGAATCGATTCAGATATTCTGTTGGAATTTAATGTATTTATATATTATCTAGTCAAATATCAGATAATATAATATTGTAATCAATAAAGAAAATAAAGGAGTTAATAACAACAACAAAAAACATATCAAAAGGTTTAATGAAGAAAATAAAAAAATACTCTTTCAGGCAATTAACAAATAAACATACCACATGTTAGAACCAAGTAACACAAATAACCAAATTAGAATTATTTTTGTGTTCTTCAAGAATTTGAACATCAAATTCTCTTTGAGGCATTTCTACAAACACCTGGCGTGCCACATAGAAATCAAATTTTCTTTCAGTCCATTTCTACAACAAAGCTGTCAAATGTGAAAAAGTAAATGTGGGAACAGAAAAAGAAAAACAATTCAAACAAAAATTGCAATCGGTAAATGCTTAGTTTAAAAATTCTACAAAAAGAAAAAGAAAAAAATCATACCGTTAAGAATTAAAAGTGCTGATTAGCTTTTGAAATATAACAAAATCCATGGCTCCCGGTTGATTGATTGATACAAAGAACAAAATATGTGCTTTTGTGTGTTTCCCTTGTGTTGGCGGTGGTGTGTGAATACGATGAGGAACGTGAAAGGAAGATCCCGATGAAAAGATCCAGATGAAACGTGAACCTGATGGCCTTCTTCAAGATTGATTGTAATTGTGTTACAAATTTTACACCAAAACTCTGGTAATCAGTAGAAATCGTTTCAGAAGTGTTTTGCTTTTCAAGATTTGGTGCTGAAATTGTTGTCGCAGAAGGAGAATTGAGAGGAAAGGAGGAGTGAGACAGAAGGCTGCATCGTTTTGATATGAAATTAGGGCTTCCACCGGGTTTGACTTTGATATACCCTAATTAAAGGGATAGTAAATATATTAATTATCTACCATAATTAAATATACAAAGATTACTATAATACCCTTAAATGATTTATTTAATTGTTTATTTTTTCCTAAATTCCTATTGGTGCATTCATGCATACAATATTTGTCAAAAACATTTGAACATATATATATATATATATATATATATATATATATATATATTAATGACAACCGCTCAAAAATAGCTACACACTTATTTGTTTTTTATAGCATCCTACTTTAGAGTGATAAAGGCTAAAAAACAATCTCTCTTTCAGTGGCTGTCAAATAATGTCTAATTACAAATTGTTGATTTGTTATTTCGTAGCATCTTACTTTTATTGATTTGTTTTTGTAACATCTTACTTTGGTTTGAACCCTTGAATGCCTAATTAAAGATTATTTTTTAGATTTTAAAACATATGTACATGTGCATTTGTTTCTATTTATGTGGGATGTTGCATCAGATCTGGCATAAATGTAAAATAACCAAACATGTGGACTAAAAGTTGAAAACCGTTCTAATGGAATGTGATATGGGATATGGATAAAAGTGTATTAACAAATTGTATTAAAACAAAATTAAAAATATCAATATGGTAAGTTTGTAAATGGCAGATAATTTGTATCAACAACGTATACATTTATGAAGAAATGCGGAAATGATGACAATTCTAATTTACAGAAATTAAATATGAAAATGATTAACTAAAATTAAACTTTTTTAAAAATAGACGGTTATTAACTTTAAAGTCTAAACCTAAACATCATTTTTTAAATAAAGTAAAAAAAATCAGTTTTTAGATAACTGTCAATAGGAAAACACATAAACTGTAGCAGAAACGGAAACACATCAATTTGGTTGACCTGGAAATCGGAAAAGATTTGTCAATTTTTAGTTTCGGAATCGGCTTTTATAAATTCAGACTATTCAATGGTGTTTTTCGAAAATTGTATTAAACTTGAATTTTTCAGATCGATTAACTAATCCTTGAAAAAAATTATAAAGACCGATTTGATAATCTAAAAATAAATATCATCTATAAGTTTCGGATGTAATAATTGGGTATCGAATAGATCTAATTGCCGGAAGAACATATTCGTCGCCGCCGCTTTGCGCGGGTAAACAACTAGTATATATATATATATATATATATATATATATATATATATATATATATATAATATATATATATATATATATATATATATATAAATGTTTTTTTATCTTTATTTTAATAGAATTAGTATAGATTATTTTTAAAATTATTTTTATTTTTTAAATAAATTATATAAAATCATATTATTATTATTTATTTATTTATTGCTTTATTTATTTATCTTTGCTTTTGTGTTTTAAAAATTTGTTAATATTTTTGACGTTTTATTTAAATATATTTTTTAATGTTGTTTTTTTTTTCACGTTTTGTTCGTTTAAATTATATAATAATATTTTTGACTTTATTTTTCGAATAAACAAATTAAAACAATAACCCGAATAACTATCAGTCTTCCAATAAAATAATTTAATATTTGTTTTTTCTCTTCTTTAATATATATATATATATATATATATATATATATATATATATATAGATAATATATATATATATATATATATATATATGTTTACTTTGTTGTTTTGTTTTTTCAGAAATAGTTATACGAAAAAAGATATATATTTAGACAATAAATAAAGAAGCACTGACATATAAACAGATGATTTTGTTCATGTTCGTTTAACAAAAAAACGAACACGAACGAACAAACGAGCTTGCGGTGTTTGTTAATCTACGTGTTCGTTCGTTTAAATTAGCCGAACATACAAATGAACACAAA